ACGTATATAAACATATACATGCATACATATACCGGTACATATACATGCATACATATACCGGTACATATACATGTATATACATGTATATACATATGTACATGTAAACATACATGCATATACACAAGTGTTTGGGGTACCACAGTTTTGCAAAGCTCTATTTTTGTTGTATGTGGAGGAGTTGAACAGTCTGATGTCCTGAGGGACAAAGGACTTCCTGAGTCTGTCCGTGGAGCAGAGCTGACACTAAGAGATGGTGGCACTGAGATTAAAGACGGCACGAGGAGCTGGAGGTGGCAGAGTATGTGTAAAGTGTTCACATTTTCATTCAGAGGAGCTAAAATGGACAGGATTAAAAATACGTCTACAGCTCAGACTGAGCAGTTAGGGGACAGAGGTGAGACCGAGATGGTTTTGGACTTGTTTGACTCTGGTTAGAAGATTTTTTTATCCTTACAATCCTGTTTAATAAATTCCACATTGTAGAGACAAACATAACATCTTGTGGAATGTAAATGAAGCTCATGGAGTGTCCACAGAAGCTTCAGGTTCCCTCTAACGAGACAGCACTATATTATCTAGACCAGTGCTCCCACTGGTTGATCTTCTCTGGGCTTCATTCTTGATGCTGTGGTGCAGCTGCATTAAAATCTGTAACTGAAACTAGAAAAATACCAGTTTTTGCGTTTCAGTATGTTTCGTATATTTGTATACAGTCGCTCATTTCTTACGGGGGTTTGGTTCCGAACCCGCCTGCAGTAAGTGAAAGTCTGCGAAGTAGCGATTAGTATTTATTTTAAGACTTTATAAACCCTTCCCACACGCTTGCGATGTTCTAAACTCTTAAACCTACGTCATTTTAACAACATGCAGTACTAGGGGTGGAACGACTGCATCATTTTTAAACTCAACATTAACATAATAAAACTCGAGTAGAACTTGAGTACTTGATGACATCATAGGATCTAAAGATACAAAAATAAATAAATAAATAAAACCGCAAAAAAGGTCATTATTTACAAAAAAAGACCAACAAAACTTTTGAAGTGTATATTATGCTCCTTCCATTTATCATACAGCAAATAAGTCACAGGAAAAACTAAACTATTAGTTTTTATTATGAAGCTGCAAAAGTGAAGAAACATGCAGCACGTCAAAAACGAAACTAAAAGCAGTGGGGGGTCGACCACCCCGCACCACCACCAGCTGTGCTGCGCATTAGTTTTAGAGATTAATATGTTTATAGGTTTTTTTATAGGTTTAGAGATGAATACTTTTTGGCTTTTTGTTTGTGAAACAAGGTCAGAGGAAGCTGGTTCTGGTTCGGTGGATTGGACCCGGTGTTACACCATATTCTGTGACCTGCAACAGTGCATGCAGCACTGCCCCCTGCAGTCACAATATACGGTGGTCACAGAATATGGTGTAACACCGGTTCACAAGGAGCTCCAAACAGTCAGGAAGTTGATTCATTTTCTGTTTCCTTACGGTAGTTGAACCAGAAGATTCATCTTTACTGAAATATTTCCAGACTACTGATGTATTTCTACATGTTTGCCAAGATTGGACCTGCTCTGCTCAGTCTGTCTGCTTGGAGGAATCCATTTTGTAGCCCGTGCCCGGTTCAGATAACGTGACGCAATGACATAACGGCAACGCAATGACGTCACCACGGATACTCGACGTGAAATTAAAAAACTTGATAGATGTCCTAGGAATCGATGTGTAGATTACTCGAGTAGTCTGTTAAAGCCCTAATACAGTACTGTATATGTAGCTACTAAATTTTACTCAGCAGACTCTGCAGAACCCAGAAACGGCTCTCGGTTCCGGTCCGACTCTGTTCTGATTCTGCAGATGTACCCTGCAGCGATGAAGCTCACAACAATGTTGTCAACTCTTAAACCTACGTCATTTTAACAACATACTTATACGTAGCTAATAAGTTTTACTTGCTCTCGGGTTCACCGCTGAGCCTGGAGGTCCAGTTCTGGTCCAGTTCTGGTCCAGTTCATTGCTGCTCTTGAGCGCTGAAGCACATAGGTGGGGGGCAGACCTTCTGTTGGCTGGCATGGGACTGTAGGTGGTCGAGTTGAGTCAAAATCTGGATGAAATGGGTCCCGATGGGCTGCAGAAACGACGCCGGCCCTACAGCGGTGCGTGTCCCCACTTGGACGTCCTCGTGGGCCGGGTACCAGCTCTCAAGATTCACCGATGGGTCTGGTTCTGCCCCGGTTTGGATTATGTCCCGTCCGGTTATGCAGTGCATGTTTTTAATAAAGCATGTAATTAAATTCCTGTCAGTCTTTAAGTAATGCATGTCACTCGGCACTTTCCATGTCCGAGTGTTGGACTGACGTCCTCTTGTGTTGAGACAGGAAGAAGTTGCGGCTGTTGGTTATTATTTGAACACTGCTGGACGTCCCGCTCACAGAACGTGCTGGAATGACTCAACTACTGCCACGCTCGTATCTGGCTCGGTGTGTGTAAAAATGAGTGGCAGAAGTCCCTCGCTGCTTCGCAGTTCGACTTGCGTGGACTCACTGCTTCGTGGTTTTTCAAAGTAAGATTAGACATGACACACAACTGACTGACTGATGCATGAGCTGCATGATCAGCACGGAGTGTTTATTTAAAATTAATTATTTTAAATTATTTAGCACCTGCTAAATCATTTGGTGCAGGGAGAAGCTCCTCCTTGTGTCATGATCTCCTTCTCTGCCACGCACACATTGCTCCTGCTGCGTTTTCTTGGTGAAGGGTCCAGATGCACATGACCTTTGGCTTCCAACTAAAGATTCAAAGTGTCGCATTGTAAAATCATCATAATCACAAAATACAGAAGTGCTGAGTTATTTTCATTATTTTAGAACTTGTATGTTCAGTTGTTTCAGTGTCATTAATCAAGAAGTTCATTTCTGCTCCGTGCGCAGCTGTGAAGAGTTAACCCTTTGATGTCCTGCACTTCTCTTCTCTACAATTTAAATAGTGTAACATTGTAAATACACAGTCCATAAATACACAGTCCATGAATACACAGTCCATAAATACACAGTCCATGCTGCATGGATTGTGTATTTACAAAGAAGGAGGGAGACTGGGAGCAGGGGATGAGCACGATTGCAGTGTAGCAGAGATCATGACACTCGGTCCTCTTTCAGAGCGTTTTGTTTTGGCTAACGTCAGCTAGCTGTGCTGGTAATTCTGAAGTAATCAGTTGTAGAGATACAACCACTGATACTTCTGGGAAGTTTCATGAAACTAAAGACATTTTGCTAACAGAGTTAACGTCAAATAGTTAGACAAACTTTAAACCTAGAATGTTGCACAGTCAGTTAGCACTTGTGTTAAGAGTCTCAGCTACTACCACTCTACATTATCAGGTCAGTGTCTGTGAAACAGCTTTATCCATTGTTGTGCTTTGTAAAGGCCAGTTGGCACTGGAAGCTGTAGTGAATGTGGGGGTCAGCTTCACTACTAATTAATTATTCTTAAACCTAGTTCAAGCACAAAGATAATTAATTATTTAAATACAACTGGTTCTTTCTTTTTCCGAGTTAAATTTCTGCCACGTGACCGAGATAACTGTGAGTGGATTGTTTAATCAGTGACATGAGACGCCATTTTTCTTTGACCCATCAGAATAAATGCGGTCATTTATTTAACAGAATCAAAATTTAACATCAAGCCATGTACACACTGATCTGTTTCTGATTAATAAAAACTTGGCACGCTTTACTAACAAGACAACAGAACATTACTGAAGGCATCTAGATTACTGGAAAAATAAAAAGTTTAAAGGAAGGAATGGAGAAGTTTAAAAGTAGATGGACGGAGGAAGATGTATGTTTGTTGAGCAGAATCAGCACGCTTCTTTCAACACCAGCTCAAACCCCCGGTACACTCGGTGCGTGACGACTCGTTACCTTTGCAGAAGATAAATCAACTCCGGTACAGAGGTCCATTTCAACGCTACCTTTCCAGCGTCTCCGGTCAGGGTGGCTGGTCATCGTCAGAAGTCGTGTGGTTTACTCCGTTCAACAGAACAAGCTTCCTTAGAAGTTGTAGGGCGTTACGCCCGGGTGAGTTCACAGCGAGGCGCTGTGACTCCGCTGAGATGGACAGACCCTCATCTCACGGTCAAATCCATCAGCTATTGATTAAATCTGAAAGTTCCTTAGGAACTCTCAGGAAGACTCCATAGTCAGAGTTTCCACTCAGAAGTGGAAGACTCCATGAAAGACTGAAGAAGACTCGGGTCAAAGACTAACTAGTTCCAGGAAGTGTTGACTTTTAAAGAGTCCTTGCTTCCGGTCACTTGGTACTTCCTGATTGGTTGAAACAACCAACGGGCGTGTTTCAGTGATGTCAGAGGGTTATTAAAAGTCCAGAGGATGCAGGAATGTTTAGGAACGATTAGAACAGACAGAGAAATGTTTTGAAGAAGTGAGAGGAGGCAGGTGCCAGTTGCTTCTTTTTTACCGTCTGCTAGGTTTAAAAACAAGACACTTCGTTCTAATAACTTGTCTCTGTCTGTCTCTGACTTTCGACCGACATCTTTGAC